GAATTCAAGGATAAAATATTTATTCATAAAAAGAATATGCCACTGAAAAAAAAAAATTTCCAAGCTGGGGGAAAATGAAAATAATCTCTGAATATGTAATGAAAGAGTTCAGAGTTCAAATCAAACAGGTTGTGAGGTCTGTTTTTTTTTTTTAATGCTGTTTATTTTTTTGGGCATGTGTTTGCTGTCCTGGTTTTATGATTGTTATGATAGGTATTCTCTCTGACAGATGATCCAGTAGGTATAGCGATATTGCCTTTTATACAATACCTCATTTACATATCACTACACTTCCCTGAACCTAAGAGGCTTTACACCATTAGTTGATTTTTGACCTACAAACAACCCTGGGAGACATCATCTGAGTCTCTTTATTTCTTTTTATAGGAGATCTCGGTCTTAACTGATTCTCCTCATTTGAATCATCATGATACCTCTGGTCACTCTCAGTGTCATTACTACTGGATATACTCATTCTCTCCTCCCTCTCCTGTTCTTCACTTTCATATCTCCGGTGGTCTTCTTGGTCACTCACAATACTGGATTCATTCATCCTTTCTTGCATCATCTGTTCTGCTTCCTCCTTCTTTTCCATAACTTCATACTCTTTTGTGGTTCTAAATTGGTCTTTGTTGGTCAGTATGCTCTGTCCATTCTTTGTTAACACAGCTGTGTTTAATCCCTTTTGCACCACAAAATCCCCCTTTTCAGGACTTGGATCCTTGTTGTTTCTGTAACACACACTTTCATTCACTGCAAATGTCATGGAAATTTGAACTCTTATTTGTCTTCCTATCAATACAGATGGGCTTTGTCTTCTGTCTGCATGTGGAATAGCTCTATAACTTAGGAGTAGTCTGGGTAAATAACTCTATATCATAATAACCAATCGCTGATGCCATATTGTTATGATAGGTATTCTCTCTGACAGATGCTTTCTTTTCAAGAGAAGATATCTCTTCTGTAGGTATAGTGATACTTCCTTTTATGCAGTACATATCACTATAACGATGGCTCAAAGAACAGATCTTACCCTATGGATGGTTGTTGGCAAAAGAGTGAGCCAACCTCTTTCATTTAATTCAAAGCTCCCTTACTCTTCTTTTTTTAATTTAAATTTTTTATTGTGATTAATATTAAGCACCACACCATTTTCAGTCAATGTTTTTAAGATTCTACAGATTTTCTTTTTGTTTTCACCAGATTCTTCAAATATTTTTTGTCTGTCAATCTGTTGTTTTTTTTTTACTTTGCTCATGAACCTTTTAATTTTTTCTCATAACTTTTTTTTCACTCTTAAAGCAATTTTTTTTTATTTGTCTTACCAATGTTTTCAATTTCTTTTTTGCTTGTTCTCCCATATTAGTTCACCTTTTAAAAATTTTTCCAAATTTTTAACAATCTCCAGGAACTTTACAATATGTTGTTCAACTCTGTGTGATTCTCTTACTGCTTAAAATCAGAATATCAGTTTGCAGAATGAATGAAGTCAAATTATCCTTTTAGTGGGCCACTAAAAGCCAACTACATATTTTGGCAGCTATGAGAGTTAATAGTGTTAGAATCAGTTTAATACCAAATATAAGGGAGTATATATTTGACTAAATGGATCCATTCCTCTGCCTATCAGATCTGGTGTTCAGCTCATCATTCCAAATATGCTCTCATCATTTCAAATATGCTCTCAACCTTTCAAATATGCTCTCATCATTCCAAATACGCTCTCATTATTCCAAGTAAGCTCTCATCATTTGAAATATGCTCTCATTATTCCAAATATACTCTCAACCTTTCAAATATGCTCTCATCATTCCAAATATGCTCTTATCATTTCAAATATGCTCTCATCATTCAAGATACACAATTTTTACAAAATGTTGTCACACCAAATTCAAAATATTTGATGTGAATCATATGAAGCCATTTATTCTTTTGTAACTGGAATAATTTTATTTCTTTAAAGAGAATTTGTGTCAAAAGTAAAATAAGAAAGATGACAAATGAGTGAATAAAAAATGACAGTTATGAAAATTAAAAAAAATTCATGACGAAAAGGAGAAATGCAACAAATAAAACTGAATACTTACATTATTTGGACTTTTATCCTGTTCTTCATTGCCTTTTACTGGTTGGTGATAGACCTTGTGTGTCACCTTTTGATCTTTCGATCTACTTAACTTTTGTACTTGTCAGGCCTTGACTGCATTGAATTCATGTCTGAACGATTTATCCAGGTTGTGATGTATCCTCTTTTGGTCTTTGTTGGTAATCTTGTTGAAGAAGACCTCAAATCTCTAGGCGATATCAGATTGTAGTTTCTGTTTTATCCAACAGTTGTACTGGAATCTCTCTCAGACAAGTCTGAATAATATAAATAATGCATAGAGGCTGAAACGTTGAGAATATGTCACTGAAGATGAGGATAACAGTCCGAATAATGTAAATAATGCAAGTAATCATAATACATCATCTCAGAGATATAGAGGTTGAAACATTGTGAATATGGCAATGAAGATGAGGATAACAGTCTAAATAATGTAAATAATCATAATACTTCATCTCAGAGATATAGATATTAAAACTGAATAGTTGAATACTCAAGTAAATGAATTTAAGAAAAAATAATTAGGATATTATTTCGATTCCTACCAATAAGAATTTTTCTTTTTCACTCTCAGATATATAAATTTTATATGGATTTTGCTGCAATAGCAGTTACAGTTGGTACAAATTAGTACCTCAGCATTGATTGGTGTCTGTGTGGGGGTAAGGTCATAAAAGAAAAGTCATAAGAGCAGGGTAGAGAAAAGTCATAGAAGAAAATATGATTTTCATCGCTAAGGAAACATCAGCCATTGTTACTCCAAAGTAGGAAAAAAAAACTTTTCTTATTCTTTCCATGACTGCGAGGACTGTGCTATTCTCTGCCCTATCTTAGCACCAATCCTCTCAATCTCCTCTCTCTGGTCTTATTTGACTGTATTTGATATCCATTGGACAATCAACCTTTTGCTCCATCTGTTATCTTTTCTTCTTGCTAAATATCATGTCCACCTCCCATTTTTTTTTTTTTATATCAATTTTATATTGTATTTTGTTTTCTTCTCTGATCCATGTTCATTTCTTTTTATCTTCCCAGGTTATTTAATGAATTGCTCTTTCCATTAATCTCTGTGCATTTTTGAGTTGTTTCCAAGCAGTTTTGTTCATTTCTATGTTTTACACAAATGTGTCAGAGCTTGGCATGATACATCTATCCTGCATATTTTATGTTTTAAGCATCTTGGATTGATTTCATTCCTATGGCCTTTCTGTAATGTTAATCACTGAAATAGATTTATTTCTGAACTTCTTTCAGTTCGTCCTCTTGTAATTTTATCATCTTTTTTTGGAATGTTAGAATTGAACATATTTTTTTCTGTTAATTTCATAATCCTACATTGAAAGTTACTTTTCTTTAGGGCATTAAGCCTTTCTGTTATCTTAGTCAAGGATTCACATACGTGTGTGTGTGTTTGTGTACATGTACATGTGTGTGTGTGTGCGTTTGCATACATGTACATGTGTGTACAGGTGCATGTGTGTTTGTGTATGTGTGTGTGTTTGTGTACATCTACATGTGTGTGTGTGTTTTTTTCGTACATGTACATGTGTGTACAGGTGCATGTGTGTTTGTGTGTGTGTGTGTGTTTGTGTACATCTACATGTGTGTGTGTTTGCGTACATTACTGCATCTGTGCAATAGAATGTAAGACCGTAGCTGAACTAAAAATTCACATCTTCACAGGCCATTGTTTGAATGATAAATAAAGCAAAATTATTACTCATAGCAGAGATTCAGATATATAATTTCAACTAAGAATAAATAAGAGTGATTTAATATTTCATTAGGGGAATGAATTTCAATTTGAATAGATATAAAAGTGCCGTTGATATTCCAATTTTTTTCTTTTAAGGTATTCTATTCATCATTCTGAGAATATCATGACTGCAAAAGATACTCATTGCTTTTATATAAGCATATAAAAGATACAATCACTATTTTCATATAAAAAATACTCAGTGCTTTTATATAAGCATATAAAAGATACAATCACTATTTTCATATAAAAAATACTCAGTGCTTTTATATAAGCATATAAAAGATACAATCACTATTTTCATATAAAAAATACTCAGTGCTTTTATATAAGCATATACAAGATACAATCACTATTTTCATATAAAAGATATTCATTTTTTTTATATAAGCATATAAAAGATACAATCACTATTTTCATATAAAAGATACTCATTTTTTTATATAAGCATATAAAAGATACAATCACTATTTTCATATAAAAAAACTCATTGCTTTTATATAAGCATATAAAAGATACAATCACTATTTTCATATAAAAAATACTCATTGCTTTTATATAAGCATATAAAAGATAGTCACTATTTTCATATGAAAGATACTCATTGCTTTTATATAAGCATATAAAAGATACAATCACTATTTTCATATAACAGATACTCATTTCTTTTATACAAGCATTTAAAAGAAACAATCACTATTTTATCTCTTGATTTTCTTATATAATTTTCATATTAAAGATACTCATTGCTTTTATACAAGTAAATACATCTTTCAGAAGACACTGTCAAAATCTAGTGTAAAATAGTTTAAATGAAATTCCCTCCTCTTGCCTCATTCCTTTTTCAGCCTTTATTTTAGCCACATCCTTATTTATGGATTGATTTGTTTTTTATGACTTACCAAACTCTTGCCAGTTATTTAAAGCCAGCAAATATTTTTAGATTGTAATAATTTTGTGGGGATAATAATGATTTACTGATACAAGTCATACTAATTAATCCATAGTTGGGGGAGAAGAAGATGGATTTAAACCTTCCCTCAAAGATATTTGAGTGTAAGTGAACCTGACTGTAATTGGAACTTGGATCAGCAGTTTTCAATTTCAAGTTATTATCCATTGCACCGTCTGCACATCCAGGCTTACAGCACCTGGTATTCCCAAGCAGTCATGCATCTAGGTATTAATCAGGCTTGATGTTGCTTAACTTTGGTGATCGTGAGAGAGCCTGTGTTTCAATGTGATATGGCTGTAAGCCCTGTATCCTATAGTCAAATAATTACAGTACTGGTATCATATATTCTCAAGAACATTTATAGAGTTTTTTTTTTACTAATCTGCAGTTAAGATTGCTACCTGTTCTTCCATGTCATTTTTATTCTACAAAGTCTGGGGCCTGATAGTGATTTTGACATGAAATTCTCTGAATTTCTTAGATAAGTGTTCTTTACAAGAATCATGTTTTTCTCAAGTTTAAATTAAAATATGGTGCAATCTTAACTTTTTTTCATAATGACATGTTTTTCTTTTTCTTTCCCCAAATTATGAAATCAGTTTCTAACTTCATGATCAAGGAATACAGAACTTTATGAATGTGAAATGTTTTATTAACTCTTTGACAATCTGAATGCTTTAAAGGTGCAAGAGGAGGGTGAATTAATGAATTATTCTGTCACTTCAGCCAGTCTGACAAAATGGATAATTCAGCAGAATAATGGTTTTAGTGATACAAGTATTAATAATTAACCCATACCTAGGGTAGAGAAGATGGAACTGAGAATGTCTGAAAATCAGTTTTCTACCTGAATAACTCTCAGGCAACACTTGCATATTCTCTATCAACTTATGAAATATAAAAAAAAAAAAAAAAAAAAAAAAGTAAGAGAAAAAAAATTCTGAAGAATTTAAGTTTGCAGGATTTTTTCTGTTGTAAATGGTCACCTGCTCATCATTTTGCCAAACTTCATCCCAGCTGTCCATAATCGAAAGAAGAATAGACAAAATATCTAATTGAACAAGTGAAATATTTGGCATAGCTGAAGATTTGTCTGGAACAATGCCAATGTTGTTGCTGTATGAAATTAAGTTCCACTGCTCTAGACATTTCTTTGACCCTCTTTGTATAATCTTTAAAGAGGTGTTTGGTGTCAAAGTAGCCATGCTCTAAATTGGGTTCATTATCAAGAGCGAATTTAACAATGTCTGCTTTATAACATTATTTATATTGGTTTCAGTTAATTGTTATGAAGAAAAAGTGTGTGTGTGTTTGTGGTTTAAAATGTGGAAAAAGTGTCCTTTCTGTCAAAGCTTGATGATTAGGCCAATTTTAGGTCTATTTCACATTTAAACTTTTTAATTTACTAACTTTTATTCTGTGCATAAATTGCTGTTTTTACATATCCGACATCAATGTGAAAGATTTCTTTGTCTTATTGCAGAGAGGGTGTAGAATTAATTTCAACTCAGAACTAAAAAAAAAGTCCCATTTTATTCATTTGCAACAAAAAAGAATGAAAGGTGCTGAAAAGAATTATCTGAATTATCTTATCTACTAAGGATTTTTAATGCTAAATTAAAAAATTAACACCAACTCATTGCATTTTGTTTAGGAATTCACAGAAATTGATAACTTTGATTTTAAATCTAGTTGAAATTAGTTCTGAGTTGAAATTAGTTCTGTCACTCTTGCAGACACATCACTGATTTTCCAGCACAGTTGATTTTGGTATCATACCTTCATAGAGTGCCAGACCCCTTGATCTTCTGGCTGGATAGTTGATGTACTGTTTGATAGTAAGCATGCTGTGCACCTATTATTCAATTCAGTCCTAAGCAGTCCACTTCTATACTTGGACAGGTGTGATACTCTTTAGCAAAAATAATAATCATTTATAACAGACAAGCTCTTGTAGAGATTTTAAAGAATTCTTCATAATTTGCTTTCTTTTTTATTTTGTAAGTTGTTGAGGGCCAACAAGCTAGCACTGCCAAGAATGTACAACACTGATTTTTCAGAACTTCTTGTTTTCCAGAACTGGCTGGAATATCCATTTTGCCAGACTGACTGAAGTCACAGAATCATTCATTAATTCACGTTCCTCTTGCATCTTTAAAACATTCAGATTGTCAGAGATATAATAAAACATTTCACATTCAAATTTTTTACCAATTTTTTTTATAAATATCTCAACAGGTTTACCAGAAATTAACACAGCTAACATAGACTTCATGAAAAATGAGAGATATTCAAGTCTTCATAGAGTGCCAGACCCCATTGATCTTCTGGTTGGATAGGTGATGTACAGTCTGATAGCATTCAATGGTTGCCTTATTCAATTCAGCTCAAAGATGGGCAGAGCAGTTGTCAAGAAGAATAATTTTGGAGTATTCTTGTTGGCAGCTTATAAATATTCAGTGCATTTGTAATTTTGTCAGGATTAAAAAAAGCTGCCGAATCATCACTTGCCAGAAGATTGGTTCATATGTATTCTATATCTAATGTTTATTTTTGACTATTCAAATATGTATTCTATATCTAATGTTTATTTTTGACTATTCAAATATGTATTCTATATCTAATGCTTATTTTTGACTATTCAAATATGTATTCTATATCTAATGTTTATTTTTGACTATTCAAATATGTATTCTATATCTAATGTTTATTTTTGACTATTCAAATATGTATTCTATATCTAATGTTTATTTTTGACTATTCAAATATGTATTCTATATCTAATGTTTATTTTTGACTATTCAAGATATTTTTTATTAGTGCTTTTAGTTGATTCATTCTTTGGCAATTAAACTGGAGAAAACTGGTCTGCATGTACTTATATGAAGAGAGTTCCAGAGACTGCACATGAACTATCCAATCAGATCAAGGAATATGGCACTCTATGAAGGCTTGAATATCTCACATTCTTTTTAATACTTTTACCCCAAGCATGTCAGTAATGCAACTAAGAGGCAGGAGGTTACGGGGTTTGAAAGAGAATGAAAAAACTCAAGTGAGGAGAATTTGAGGAAAGGATGAAGAAATAGGGTTTAGGAAGACAGAAGATGCCGATTGGTGTTGAATGTAGACTTTTGAAGATTTAGTTTGCATGTTTATTTTTGACTACTCAAAATATTTTTATTGCAGTGTTTTTAGCTTATTCATTTTTTGGCAATTAAACTGGAGAAATTTGTCTGCATTTAGTTATATTTTTAATATTCATTGTTCCTTTCATATTTCTTATCACAATGTTTAGAATTAAATAAACAGTTCAGTTGGTAATGGTTAGACAGATCAACAATCATCTGTTGAATGCTGGAGAATGAAACATTGTGAATAACAACAACAAAGATAGGGATAATAGTCCACCTGTAAATCTCTCTACCTTTTCTCCAAATATTTTCATGGCAACTGTTCTGATGAGCTGTTTTTCTCTAGTACCATGAATGCATTTAAAAGTGTTACTAGATTGGCAATTAGGTCTAATCATCTTACTGTTTGACTAGCTAGATGCAACAATCATTTCTATTCTAAGTTTCTTTTCTAACACTTCTCATCTCTGGAACTCTTTTCTGATTTCTTGCTTCCCTATCACCTATAATCTTCAAAAATGCAATCTTCTGTTTTCTTATTTCTTTGTCCATTCCTCAATTCTCTTCACTCGAGTCTTCTCATTCTTTTTCAATCTCTGTAACCTCTTGCAACTTAGTTGCATTATTGCTATGCTTGGAGTGAAATGATTAAAAAAAAATAATCACAATTCCTCATCCCAGAACTTCAGTCGTAAAATACATTCCTTAATTCTATCCATTCAGACCTTTGGACCTGCCATACCACATATGCAGCATCAACTCATTCCCTTCATAATTCCTTTGGTAAGTGTTGGGGCCACCCACCTTCTCATCAGAATGGACTGATCTCTCTACTACTAATAGGACAGTTCTATAGAGTTCTGGGAAGATCAGGTGACCATCACACTTCCGTCTCTCTACTGGAAGATACAGTTGGACTTTATACTCTTTCTGATTGTTACTGACTAACCTGTGTTCGTTTGACTACTAATCTTTCTGTTGTAAATACCTCTTCAGATATACCAGTATTTTTCCCTACGTATGTGTTTGTCCTTATTTCAATACACGCACGGGGAAACACTCAACATCTCAACAGTAAGGAGTAAATTCCTCTCAGACACCTTCATTCCCAGAATTGTCACTTTGTGAAACAGAGGAAGCTTTCCCAGCCACTAAAATCTTAACTATGTCAAGTCTAGAGTTGACTGTTATCTAGTCTACTGTTGTAGCATACCTATCGTCAATAATAGGTATGTCCCCATTCACATAAAATACAGTAGTAAATACTGTATGTTAGTCTGCAGTTGGAGATTCATTGTGGAATTCACTTGACTCACTTCTAGCAGTTGACTACTTCTTCTATGTGCCAGTGGCAAATCTTATATGTGTTGTTCTTACCCTAAGTATTATCGTTCATTACCAGCCTTCGTGTGATTATTCTATACAGTAAACTTCCCCAGGTTACAACATCTACCTATCCTTATAGCTTACGACCACATCACATTGAAATACTAGTTCCGATACAATCACTGAAGTTAAGCAATGTTGAGCCTGGTCAGTAACTAAGTGGGTGACTGCTTTGGGAATACCAGGTTCTGTAAGCTTGGATGTGCAGAATTGTTAAATGGAGAGTCGAGTTCCAATTCCTGTTGAGTTAATCATATTCACTTACAAGCAAATACCCTTGGGAAAGGCATGAATCCACATATTCTCTACACTGGGTATGGGTTAATTATTAATACTTGTATCACTAAAACTATTCTCTCTAAAAAAAAATAATAATATTGTGTACAAAATATTTAGGTTTTAGCATTAAATAACCCATAAAGGTTGATATGTGTTATATGCCATACCTATGAACACTAATCCTTATAAATACATTGGAGACTATTGTAAGTGGGGGTAATATGTTGTCTACGTAGTCCACCACTAGCAGTGGTTTACCTACTTCAAGCTGCTGATGAGTATTGTATTTTGTTGATGTTATAAAGATTGCCATTTCATTTCCAACCACTATTTTTTTTTATTATTTCTCATTCAGTAACTCTCTCTTGGGTACTATAATATGCAACTAAACAAAAACAACCAACTATACCCTATATGATATTCCTTTATTTCCTCCTTCCTTTATCTCCTTACAATTATCTCATTCAGTAACCCTCTATCTTGAGGGGCTCTTAGGCCTT